TCCCATCACAGAAAAGGCAACGTTCTTCCAGCTGCTCACGCCAAAAACTTGAGCCATTCTGATTACTCTCTTGCTCTCACATTCCACACTCAACTCATCAACACATTTGATCAGTTCTCCTTTCAAAGTATATTCACGCTCTAACCACTTCTCATCACCACCACTATCATCTTAGTCCAAACCGTCACGTTCTCTCTCCTGAGATGAATACAGTAGCAGCTTCCACACGAAACCAGCTACAAACTATTTTCCATAGAGAAGCCAGCTCTTTTAAAAATTCAAGTCACATCATGTCACATTTCTACTTAAAACTTCACTCAGGCTTTGCACCTCACTCAGAGTAAAATTCAAAGGCCTCCCTACAGCCTATAAGGCAAGACAAGGATTCAGACCACACACTCTGGAGTCACTGGGCCTGGATTCAAACCCTGACTTTGCCACTTACTATCCGGTGACCACTGGCAAGTTACTTAGCTTTCCATGTCTGTTTCCTCATCTGTAAAATGAGAATAATAACAGTACCTTCATGCGTGATACCTGTAATGAGCTGAGAAGCGCCCGCTACACCGTGAGCAATACCTAAGTGCTCCTGCCTCAGGGCTTTGCACTCACTTTGCCTACTGCCTGGAGTACTCTTCACTTAAACCGTAGCACAGCTCATTCCCTCAGCGGACGCAGGTCTTGGCTCAGAGAGGCTGTCACTACTCACTATACAAACCAAATACCCTCTACTTCTCACTTTCTACCTTCTTACTCTGCTCCTTCTCTTCAGAGTGCTGCCTTCCCCAACTAGGACGTAATTCAATGAGAGCAGGGACTTTGCCCCCTTTTTCCATTCCTGTGTCCCTGGAACCTAGAACAATCCCTCGCACAAAAGAGCATTTAGTAAATATTTATTAGTATTTATTGAAGGACTAAATTAATAAATACACAAAATTCCCAGTTTCCAGGCAGGCACCACTTTAAATCCCAGAACCTTAGAGTTAGAAGGGAAATGAAAAGTTATCAAGTTCAAAGTGAGAAAGTTTTCTTTAAAGTGCCTTGATAGCATCCGGGCCTTTATTTGACTATTTCTAGTAACAAGGAATTCACTTTTTTATTAAGAGGTACCATTTCACTTTTCACATCTGACACAAATTTCCACCTTCTGAAAGTTGAGTTGAAATGTCTCTTTGTACTTAATCACTGTTCCTAACTCTGCCACGTGGCACTATACGGGTGATCTAAAATGCTATCTTTTGCAAACAACAGCCTTTATCACATCTGAAGAGATGTGACATCCCTTGTAAATCTTTTCACTAAGATCTGGGCTTTTCGACTTCCCAGCAGCCCCATGTCTTAAAAACTGCAGTATATTTATGGGGCACAATATGCCATCAAAATGAAAACTAGTCTTCCTTGAATCAAATCCAGGCTTACATTAGTTTCTTGAAAAAATTCTAAGTTGCAAAATCACACCACTACACTTCAGTGGCACTGCTGAATTTTGCACGCGTACTGAAAGGCCTACACGTGAGTTCACCCCTGTTCAGCTGCTTCTCTTTGTCACCCGTCATTTGAGTTTGTCAGCATTTTAAATTTCCTATCTGCCACCTGGTATATTAGCTCTTTATCCCTCCCAGCTTCATCCATCTGTAAGTTCAACAAGCATGCTTTTTTTTTATCTCTATCTTAAGTTCTTGAAGATAAACACGAAGAGGTTGGTCAGGACAAAAATAAAGTCCCCCAAAGAACGTCTATTGCGCCCTCAGGGCATCACATTGCGATAGTTATTAAAAAGCAAACTAGAGTCACGTGTTGCTTCATGACGGAGATACGTTCCGAGAAATGCGTCGTCAGGCGATTTCATCATTGTGCAAACATCATAGAGTGCACCTACACAAACCTAGATGGCACAGCCTACTACACACCTAGGCTCTGTGGAACTAATCTCATGGGACCACCGTCATGTATGTGGTCCGCTGTTGACCTCAACATTGTTATGCGGCACACGACTGTATAATATTCAGAGGCTGACGCCTACACTGTTGTGTATAACAAATTTAACCAAAGAATGTGTGATCATTTGATGACATACAACCTTACCACTTTATCATTTAAATGCCACCCAACTGACAAAGGAAAGGAAACGTATCTGTAGAATTCAAAACTACAATGTCCAAACTTACACTAAAAGCTTCCTTGTTGTCTTTAACTGCACAGGATTCTTCTACTTTATGGTCCTCTTCTAGCATAACACTGGATGGCTAAGGCAAAGAAAAACACACATTACAAAAGGCAACCAATTTTTAACAACTTTAAATTTCAAATATTAGGAATTTGAATACACTCCTCTATTTTCTGATACATACTATTAAGGTATGTAAAATTTTGAATTCATCATTGTCATAAATAGGGGCTAGGAATGTTTACAAAGAAATTTCACAAGTGGGAAAATTAAATTAAAAAGTGTACAAAAGATGGCATCTGAAGCATTAGCATACACTATGACTTTTGCGTTGAGTATTAACTATGGAACTTTCAATGCTTAAACTGGCAAGGCAAACTTTACTTTGAAATCAGATAACAAGAAAGATTAAAAAATATGTAATTTTCCATTACTGGTCAATACTGATAATATAACTCTCACAGATCTCAAGCCACTACAAAATTCTCAAGTCTCCCTTGAGTCAAAAATAATATCCAGTATTTTTGTTAAATATATTGTTTCTTAAATCTTTAAAAATTGTATATGATAGGTGAAAAGCAAAGGTAATAAACAAAAAATTTAATGAATCATGGGGCCGGCCCTGTGGCCAAGTGGCTTGGTTTGAGTGCTCCGCTTCAGTGGCCCAGGATTTTGCTGGTTTGGATCCTGGGCGAGGACACGGCACTGCTCATCAGGCCGTGCTGAGGCAGCGTCCCACATAGCACAACCAGAAGGACCCACAATTAGAATATACAACTATGTATTGGGGGGCTTTGGGGAGAAGAAGAAAAATGAAAAAAGAAGATTGGCAACAGATGTTAGCTCAGGTGCCAATTAAAAAAAAAATTAATTAATCAGAATACTCCATTCTTCAACCTGAGGATAAACTGCTAAAGATCATTATTTGAGATTCTACCTACCTTAACTGTTAATTAAAAAAAAAGCCCAGAAATCATAACTCTGAATTTTTTAATATAAATTCATGCTCTAATATTCACACAGTGAAATTTCTCATATTTCTTTGGGCATGCTATTGATTTTGTTAAACAAGTAGAGGGCAAAAAAAGGATGGCATATGAATCTGTTGGTTTTAGATAGATCCATCTTTTATAAACTCGAGATATACAGGGCTTTTTTCTGGCTTAAAATTAATTTTCTGCCCAAAACTATGTGTCCAAATTAGGGAATAAGGAAAAAAAATCCTTTAATTTTGAGTATAGACAGGTCTGAATATGACTCTCCTGAGAAAAGGAGCCATAACCCAAAAGCAAGCCCCATGGCCACACTGGACGGACTGCGGAGGAGGAAGCCTGGTGGAAGGATGGAGGACGAATAGATAGTCTCAACAGTCATTTTGGTTTTGATTCAAGAGGATCCCTGTGGCCTAATAATTGGCAATGAAAAGCATACTTTACTAATCTTCAAGTCTTTTAAGTTTGAAATACCTGGGGCAAAAGATTAAAGGAAGTCTTTTCCACATCATTTTTCTGCTGTTCCTCAAATCTTTTTACTAAATTTGATACAAATTCCTCTATTTCTTGATGATATTGCCTGCATAAGAGGACAAAATGGTCAGAACCCAGACAAAGTAAAACAATGAATCAATCGAAGTCTTATGCATTATTAGAAGATGTCATGTGTAAATTTTATTTTATTTTTCAGAAGTTTATCAAATCACTCTTTGTACCACTCAGGAATCTATTCACTAGGAAAAAATACACATTGCTGCCAAGTCAAAAAAATGATTATGATAACCTAACACACTGCTCTGTTTGTAATAGTTGGCAAATATTTGTGCAAAGAACAAATGGATTTTATTAACAAATTTTATGTACTTAACTTTTGAATACCTAACACACATAAATGGTTCAAAATCCAAAACAAGTGAAGGAGTTACATAATGAAAAGCTTCCTTCCTACCCTGGCTCCAAGCCAACTGCTTCTGTAACACAAAAACAATCAATGCGGGGGCTGGCCCGGTGGTGCAGCAGTTAAGTGCGCACATCCCGCTTCGGCGGCCCGGAGTTTGCCAGTTCGGATCCCAGGTGCGGACACGGCACCGCTTGGCAGGCCATGCTGCCGCGGGTGTCCCACATATAAAGTAGAGGAAGATGGGCACGGATGTTAGCTCAGGGCCAGTCTTCCCCAGCAAAAAGAGGAGGATTGGCAGCAGATGTTAGCTCAGGGCTAATCTTCCTCAAAAACAAAAAAAACAAAAAACCATCAATGCATTCAGTTCTTCCACATCCTCCTCCCAGAGAGCCTATGCACATATAAGGGAACACCCATATAAATATTAAAGTGGAAAAAATAAAACCAAAATGTAATGCAAGAAAAACTACTGAGGTCTACTTTCTCCAGCTTTCCAAGTCAAAAACTACATTCATCAAATGTTCTTCAGCGCTCAGTTCAGGAGGTGCCAGAGGAGCCCACGTTAGACTGCAGTTGGGCAGCCAACTTCCTATTCACAGACCTGATGATCTGTGAGATCTCTTTAGCTCTGACATTCTAGGATTTTTGCAGGCGAAACACCAGAGAATGGTGCAGAAATTAGACTGCCATGACCTAGAGTAGATGTCGATCCTAATCCGATGGTGACAACAGGGCTAGAGCCCAGCTGTGCGCAGCACCATGCTGCTGCTGCCCTCACCATTGAGGGTCCCCACCCCTCAGAGCCTCAGTTTCCGCTTCTGCTGAGATAAGGTAGGTAATGGGCTTGTCACATAGCTAACACTCTCCGTACGTTACTCTTCTTTACCTTGCCCAGCACATAAGGTAACAATGTGACTAAGTGACTCAGGAGGGGGCAAGCAACTGTCTGAAATGTCCATGACCATGCTCTGAGGAAGGGTCAGGGCAAGGCCTCAAACCGTTTCAGAACACTTTAGCAAGCACTGCAGGAATGCACTGAGTCACCCTAGACCCCAGCATGCTGGAAGGCTTGCAAACGTCTAGTTTGATATTAAAGGAAAAAAATCATGTGGGTAAGCTTTAAAGAGAGCTAACAGAAACAACTCAGTTACCTAATTTTGGGGGAGAAATGGCTAACATTATTGACTGTTGCGGTGGTGGTGGTGATTTTATTAGAGGCTATTTATTGGGCTCTTCCTGGTGCTCATTTAGCTATGTGAGAGGTAGCTACTGTTAGTACCCTGTTTTCCAGTGAGGAAATGGACTGCAGTGAGCGTCAGTGACCTGCCCAGGTTCACATACGTAGAAAGTAGGAGTCCAGATCCAAACTCAGGTTTATATGACTCTAAAGTCCTTGCTTTTAATCTTAATTATGACTCCACAAATTTTAAGTAAAAGAATAAAGATGGTATAAATACAAATGAAAACAGTATATTTATAGAAGACATTGTTTCATAAACACTTTAACTCATTACATTTAGGAAAGGGAAAATGACTTACTTTGAAATAACATTGTTCATAAATAGAATCTGTAATAAAGGTCCATCTAACTTAGTATCGTTCATCAATATTCCACTAAAACAGAAGTTAAAACACATTCTTAGAAGAGGTTCAAGTAAAACTTGCATATGTACATATAAACACACAACTTTTATAATATAATTCTTAAGTACCAAAGATCACATAACATTTTACAAATAGGATCAAGAATCATCAAGAACTCCAGTTTTCTCAAGAAAACTTTAAGTTTTCACCAATGTTACCCTACTTTAATGATTATACACAAAAGTATCGCTTACATATTTAAAAAAAAAATTTCACAGTTTTCAACCAAAAAGTTTCTTTACGTAATGGCTAGTTTCTATACAAACTGGAGGAAGAGAGGGTCTGGATAGACCAGTAGGTCACAAGAATGTATTTCTAAAAGCAGAATGAATTTGGCTTGGAAATCTATAGGAAAATAAAATACTTTATAAATAAATGGATAAACTCTTGAAGGGCAAGTCACATCCCACTAAATATCTCAAATCCAAGATTCCAAAGTAGATATTATTTGTTCCTGGATTTGACTTTCAACTATTACAAAAACAGAACTACAATGTAGCCGGGAAACCTGCAATATATCCCTTTGGTAACCTGGGACCAGCTGAATCTCCGCTTCCTCCTCTTGTCACCTACCTCACATTCCTCTACCTGTACAGCATGTGAAATAAGTAAGTCTGTGTTTGGAATTGTTTGAATCAAATAAAGAAAACAAAATTAAAATAGGAATAGGTTCAGAGACTTGTTTCAACTTGTGCAAGCTACAGTCTTAAAAAATACATCATGTTGGGGTCGAGTGGTTAAGTTTGCGCGCTCTGCTGTGGCGGCCCAGGGTTTTGCCAGTACAGATCCTGGGCGCGGACATGGCACCGCTCATCAGGCCATGCTGAGGCGGCGTCCCACATGCCACAACTAAAAATATACAACTATGCACCAGGGCGCTTTGGAGAGAAAAAGGAAAAATAAAATCAAAAAAACACAAGACATCTTTTTAAAAACCACAAGCAACTGCATGGTCCTTGATTGGAGTTCAGTTTGAGCAATCAGCTATAAAGACATGCAGCTGGGGAAATCCGAATACGGACTGGAGAGGGAATGTTAAGGAAATCATGACAGTTATTAGTTCTGAGAATGGTGTGGTTACGTATGAAAAAGTCTTTTTTAAAAAAAAACATGGAATATTTGGGGTAAAATGTGCATATGAGATTAAAAGAAGAAAATATGACAAAATATTAATTGTTAAATCTGATGAAAATATGGGTATTACTTTTACTATTTTTCCCACTTTCTGTTTATTTGAAATGTTTCATAATATAGAGTAGAAAAAAAAAGAAAAAAATACCGTTTAATGAAAAAAAAGAAGAAAAACATCTGATCATGACAATTCCAAAAATTAGGATTAAACCAAGAGACTTGGTATAAATTTTATTTAAAAAACTTTGTTTCTTTTTTGTTCTTTGGTTTTCTATAAAATGCTTTATCAGTCTGACAATATGGAGGGTACTAATTCTAAAAAAAAATTAATTTATTCCTTTTTCATGATACTAATGCTTGTTTCTTATAAATTGGAAAAGGCGACAATGCTATAAATAAAGATTTAATGTTTAAACGATCAACTCTTTTGAAAATGTGTACTTATCTGAATAAAGTATCTTTAAATAGATAAAAATTATGGTATTTGAGGAATCCTAGTTATATCAACACATTTGATATCTAACCAAAAATGAGTTAGATCCACAAAGCGTGCTCACGTAGGGGAAGCAAGGTAGGGTATGGGGAAGCTATTCCAAAATACATGTAAATTCTAAAATTTTAAACTTTTAGTCACCAACGTAGCTGGTTACTCCGGCTGGTACCAGGGACACAGAAGTGTATGTGAAACTGCATCCTGGCACCCCCAAATTCTGAAAACGTGAAATTACCATTCCACATAATAAATCTGCAGTTTAGCGCATATTTTAGATTTAGTGACCTGTTAAATAAATTTATATTAAGAGAGATCAGCATTTAATCTTCTGTTAAAATCAGATGCCTGAATGCAAATCTACTCACTGTACTTTTCTCAAAAGCAACTACTTTTCTTCTAAAATGCTCTTTCTTGCATTATTTCTATTTACTAATACACTTTAATCGTGTAAACAAATCTTGCTAGAGCAATACCGCAATCTTAATTCTAACTTCCCAGAAATATTTGCAGAATAGGAACAGCTGGGTTGACAACTTGCCTGGTCTGAACATTAAATCAAAATTTTCTGGATTGTGTTTCACAAATATGTTCACCCACTAAGTCAGTTTAAAAGTTTAATGCAGCTATGAGAATTTAAATTTTAACCCCACAGAGTAAAAATAAAGGATCATTACTCTGATTTCTCCAGAGTATGCTGAAGACATAAAAACAATACAAAAACCCTAAACATCCTTTTTACAAAGAAATTGTAATTAAATATTCATATAAGGATAAAAAAATAAAGGACAACAATGGTGTAATTTCAAGATCTCATACCTTGGTCGAGTCAGAATGTTCAATTTTCTTTTAAGTTCTTGATGTTATTACTTGTTAAGGAATATAAGCCCCCATAAAACAGAATCATGGAGATCATAAAATTCGACTATTAACTCTCACTTTCGGTAGCACAACGTTATAAACATTAAAAGACCCACAGATATTTTGAGGATGACACACTTACTGAGCTCCCGTTTTGTTGCAGGGCTAGGCATGTGGATCCAAATATTAAGATAGAAGTTTTCATCCCTCCCAGCATAGATATTTCTCAAAAGGAGCCATGTAGTTCAAAGGAGATTAACAGACTGATGGTTGAATTATTCAAACAACGGTGTCTCGTCAAAAGTTAAACAGCCATTCACTCAAGAAAACTCTCCAAGTCAAAGCATCATGATCTTCGGTAAAGCAAATGCAGTATAACAAACCGCTAACGACTGAAAAATCTGGGATGGAATCTATGGATGTTCACTGTGCAATCCTTTCAATTTTTCTCTATTTTGAAGTTTTTCATAATAAAGTGTCGAGGAAAAAGGCAAACTTCGAAAACTTTTTAAAAGATGATTCACCAACGACTTTTAGGGGTCTTTACCAATTTTAAAAGGAAAACTAGCTGAGCCCAAATCATCTGTATGTATATATAGCTAAACACAAAACAAAACTCTAAGAGTGTAAATTAACACTAACAAATCTTGCTAGAAAGGCTGTAATCATGTAACTAAAGCCAAACGGAAACTTACTTGGCGCGATTTTCTTAAAACTTTGCAATGCACCTTTCAGCACGGAAGCTATTTCAAAGTGGAAGAACTTTAAAATGAACCCCCCCTTTGAAGCAATTAAGCATTTCTCTTTGCCTGCCTCGAATCCTTAAAGCCCCCACCTCTAGGGGCCCTGGGACCACCAGCTTTCCTCTCGCCATAAAAACAGATCCGCGCCAAGGTCCAAGTACCCGGTATCTCCTAAGAGACCACTGTTAACAGGACTGCATCAACTTTAGCTTGGCCGCAAAAAATGAAATCGGCTAAGGACTCCAAAAAGGGGGAGAAAAGGGGTGACCAGTCATTCATCTAACCGTTGACACAGTCCAAAATAACCCATAAAACCGGCCCCAGACGGACGGGCGGGAGGAGCGAATCTAGTCAGGATACGGATCCTAGTAGGGGAGAGGTTTGCCCGGGGGCAGCTTACCCCGCTCGAACCCTACATTCTCAGCCCTGCGAGGCGAGAGAAATTACTCGGAATTCTGGCCCTCGTGGAATTTCCGTCCGCGCCCTCACGGGCACAGCCGCCACCACACGCCCCGGTGACAGGGCCCAGCGAGCGGGAAGGATATTCTCGGCGCGGAGCTTCTCGATGGTTTCCTCGCACTGCCGAAGCCGCTCCCGCAGCTCCGCCTCGCCCACCCCATTCTCGTCCTCCTCCTCGCTGTCGTCGTCCTTGAAGCGGGTGTGAACTGGCTTCGGAATCGACTCCTCTGGGTGGTCAAACGCCTCGAACAGCTCTAGGTCGCCAAAATCCACCTCCGCCGCCATTTTGGGCTGTGAGAAAGATTCGAGAAGAGGCGGAGCTGGCCACCGGCTGGGGGCGAAGGTCGTAGGGCGGCACCGCTCTCTAGGGCTTACGCCTCGCTAAGCCACCCAGTAAGGTTTTCTCCAAACGTAGACCGCCGGAGCTGCACAGGCGGCGGCCGAGTCCCAAAAGACTACAACTCCCAGAATGCAATGGCGTCTCTCATACCCACTTCCGAGATTGCTCGGGTGCATGGCATGCTGGGACATGTGGTTTCTAAGCGACTGTTAACTCATTGTTTGCATTGCATCCTGGGATTGGTCCTTTGTAAACGTGAAGAAAGCCCGGCTAGATCAGAATGTATGAAAACAGTATGAATTGTCTCTGTTATGCATCTAAGGCTGAAAAATCAGAGCACGACGCATGGCTTGTCACAGATTCTGGTGTGCGTGCTAAACAAACAAGAAAATAAAGAAATCCAGTTT